ATCGATGCTGCGAGCGGTTTTGTCAACAGAAATCGAGCATTTTGAACAGTGAAAGTCATTCAACGAGGAATAATATAAACTTATTTAAACAATTAACTCAGAAGACCATTTAAAATCATCAGAGCATGAAATAAGGGCGTCAGTTGTTGACTCTGGGACTACTTGAGGCTAGTGTTGTTGTCACACTGAAGGTTAGTGCTATTGTTTACTTGAAAACTTAAAACTTTTAAAATGTTGACCTGGTGTTTGGTATTTCTGAAGCATCGGCGGTGTCAGACAGACATTTTCCCATACCATGAGTAATGTTTACAATTTGCAGTGTACACAAATCGATAGATGAGTAGTTGTATACCACTGGTAGCCAGAATTCAGGTGGTTAGAACAGATTCAGCTCTATGAAATGAGTTGAAGCTGGGCAGAGTATTGATGAGCTCGACCCCTAAAAGAGTGAAATGGCCGTTCGGTGTTTAGATCGCTTCTCTCTGGCTAGCAAGTATTACTAGTTGACATGATTGGTATGCGACTATTTATTTCGATCAATCAGTAGTATATAGTTATACGCAAAATTTTACCTACACGTTTTAACTCTTCTTCATAAATTAATGAGTGATAACGTCTAGCATAATAATAAAAGTGTTTCATTCCATCTTCATATATTTTTTACTCTGAAGAAGACTTCCGATAGCGTTTAATAATTATTCATTGTTCTGAATCATTTCTGTTAATATTATGTTACATATAGTTGTTCCTTGTATTGCCTGGTTGAGACCGATCTGCAAGAAGCTTTGATTCTAGAATTTTTGAATATTTAGAAAGACATACCTGCAATTATGATGCAGCATATACCTACTGAGAAATTGAAATCTGCATCGGCTGAAGCTACATTTAGAGGTTTCGTCAGTGACCTCATCAGTATGCTATTTAACAAACTCAATGACTGTTTTATTCGATACACCGGTTAGGCGATTGAGAGTAGCCAGTGTTTTAGGTTAAACTATTGTCAGAGAAGTTTGAAAGTGATGATAGTCAATTCGTTTGAAACTATCACTATCATCAGTAGTTAATTGATTTACGACAAGTAACAAAGGTTAATAAAGTAGGATTTAATGAATTCATCGAATTTCGGTAGAACTCGTCAGCTGAATACTCTACATACATGGATATATATATATATATATACTTTTGAAATTAAATTGGGAGATATCCAAACAGTTAGGAAAAAATCTGTCTATAGCCGTTTGCCATTCAAAGGAGTTGATGTACAAGAAGTAGTCAAACGAAGACTCGATAAAGCAGTCAAGAGAACTTATTATTCTACAAAACTTGTTTTCCTTAACACCACTAAGCGAGTACTTCAACAGTCTGGGAAAGACCATTCGCTAATCCTCAACACTTCAAACTGCATATATCAATTTGAGTATGTTTGTGGAAGCAAATACATAGGTCGTACAGAAAGGCGATTGTCTACTCGCATCATGGAGCATTTAACAAAATGGCTGAAAACAGCTGAGTGTAAAGTGCTAAAATCCTCAATAACAAAAAATCTTGTGGATTACGGACATGATATTGACGCGATCAAATCATTCACTATTGTCAGCAGACAAAGAAACAGGAAGATGCCTTCGATTGCAGGGGAGGCTTGTGCGATTCGAGTTTATAAACCAGGTCTGTGTGTACTAAAGGAGATGGTCGTCACTCTGAATCTACCATGGTAATAAGTTTTACTTATTATTCTACCTCTTATTATTATTATTCTTGATTCACTTAAAACTATCTTTTATCAGTAGGATTATCTTAACTCACCTCAACATTATTATTATTATATCTATTACTATTGATATTACTCCATTTGCGATTTTTGATATATTCTCTAATGACTAATTGTTTGTCTAAGTGATGTAATTGGAGCGTAATGCATTTTATCCTAATTTTATTCTCTCAAACCCCTATCCTCTTATATGTTTGAACATAACCTTGAAAACATTCGCAATTGTTGTCTTTCTGCATAACTAAATCAATGTAGTTTATTTGCGCTTATCAGTCTTATATCTCCCAAAGTAGTTTCAAAAGTATATATATATATATATATCCGTGTATGTAGAGTATTCAGCAGCTGACGAGTTCTAACGAAATCTGATGAATTAATTGAATCCTGCTTTATTAACTTTTGTTTCTTGTTTTAAATTCGTATCGGGAAATAAATGTTTTTAGTTAATTGATTGCTGTAGGAGCTGCAGACTGCATACCTTTCATAGCAGATATCAGCTTGAATTATAGCAACTAATTTTTTCGTTTGTTTGCCTGCATTTAATTCTCTAAATAAAGGGTAAATTTGTGTTTTACAACGCTGAAATTCAGTGAATAGTAGAGATGAACTAGTATGTTAATTAGAATGGACGTCAGTGTAAATGTTCTGAGAAAACCTGCGGAAACGAATAGGCGTGACTCTAATGTACATGACTTAAGAAATAAATATCAAATATAAATCAGACTTAGTGCTTTATCAAGTGATTGAAGTCCTCTGTGCCGTTAGTCATAATAATAATGGCAATAATGCACACACCAGTGGGTGTGTACCGAGAAGACTCTCAAACTAGGACGAAACAGTTGCCCAGTACTCCAAGGCTTTTCAATGGTTCTCTAAATGATGTCAGCTCATGATGAAATCCTGTAACGAATGAATCAAATCCATACAAACCAATACTGGAATATCAATGAGATGCTCACTAGCAACTGGCTATATTCAGGTAGGTAGTTACCCAGGGTTCTAGTGGAAAGTCGTGACGAGTAGGATGCAGCAGGTAGGGTGTGAGGACAAATAGTCGCCTAAGACATTGGCTAGCGGTCACGCTATGTCGTGAATTAGCTGAAGTTGGAATTCATTGACTGGCCATTGGATCAGGTCCCAGTGGCTCAATGGTATACGATCTCACTAGCTTTGTAACCACAAGGTCCTGGGTTCGAACCCCGGCAAGATGAGTACGTACTGCTGAAGAATCCTGAACTAGGACCGGGGGGGCGGGACAACTTTCCAGTACTACCAGGCTTTTTAATGGCTCTCAGAATGATGTCAGCTTGAGATGAAATCCTGTAACCAATCAGAATTCTATTGATAAGGGTATTGAAACAATTTGTATATAGAATACTAGCGAAAACGGTATGATTATATTCAAAAAATATTCAAAAAATATTCAAATGGAGTCAATAGATAACGGCCTTTAAAACATAATGAGATTGTCCAATACACCACAAGACAGGTGGTAGAGTTGATAAAACCCTATAAAAGAGGGAGTGAATATGTATAAACAGGGAGTGATATAACTAGTTAGTTGACTGCATGAACTTTTCCTGAATACATGGTATAGGTTTAATAGTTTAGGAGACTACCTCCTTATCTGTATGCCTTAGATAAATACTGAGAAGATTGAAAAGAATGGATAGGATGCGATGAATCCCCATGAATGAGCTTATTTTGTACACTGCTGAATAGCCGCTATTAATCAGATACAACCGAAAATAGCTCTGTGAACAGTTGCTATATGTTCTCTAATCATATTTCCATGAATGAGATCTTGATAAAAATCAGACATTTAAAGGATAGTTCATTCTACCTCAAAAATCAGCAATCTTGAAATTTTCTCACATTCAAAAATCACAGAGAATGGACATAGTTGTTTTTCTACCCTAGTTATATTTTGCTCCACATAGCCCATTATTCTAAATGTGTGGAGATTGATAGTTTTTTGGTAGATGGCAAAACTGTTACATTATATTCAGTAAGAGTTTATCTGTTGTGTAAAAGTTATATGAAGAAATGGAAATCGCTTGTTCTGATCAGAAATATTCTTTAGAATTTCAACTATTTAAATGGTATTACGTAAACACAGGTGGATTCAAATTATCTCGTTGAAGAAGCTATAAGATTGATTATTCAGCGTGGCATTCAAAACACTCCCGTTTTAAGTGAAGTTATTAGGCAGGAAGCTCTTTTTGATGACCCTTGTTTCACGCTTGGTGGGACTCATCAGTCAGGTATACCTGTGACCTCAAAGGAATTGATATCTCTCCCTCTGAGACTGCAACTTAGATGATGAAGTGAAGCAGGGAGGGTAATTATCACTAAGATATTCAAGTTCTGAAATACCTAAACACTGGACCGTATGAAAAAGTTAGCTTGACAAAATCAAGCGCTAATTTGAGCAACAAGGTAACTGTCACGGTTATTGTGATGAAACTTTATCAAAATCAATGATGAATTTACAAATAATACCTGAATCGAATTTCTTAGAAATGTCCATCTATATTTTATCTTTACATTCATTTAGATACATAACATTATTTTTATTACCTCTTTACCAGTCACTGCTATCCTGAGTTAACGCTAAACACATTCAAGTACACCATTAATCATCATCAAGTTGAATTAATGATGTCACAACATTATCGTAATATCATCTGGGTACTGGTTGTTTACTGCGCAGCCTCTACGCCTCAATTCTGACTCGTTCTTATCCTATCAGGTTTGAAATTTAATCAGTTAACAAGCAATAACACCAACCGTTGCGTTGAACTTCCAGATGATGTTAATTGGTTGGAGCAAAATTATCGGCAATACTCAAGCCGAAATCATGCAGATTTTCTTCAACTCTATAACACGGATTAAGAAAGACTTTTTAGTGATTCTGTGATACTTCTTCCTGAATCGATTTTAGATGGAATAAAAATAATACTGAGATTGTGGTAATTATGTACATTTATTCATGATATTGTTGTTTTTCAAAATTTATCATAAATTTTTTTACGGGTAACATATTTACTGCTTTTTGTTACAAGTATGTATTCAAGTTATTAATGTTGCTCATTGTTAACACGTGGATAAACGCCACCTCTGTTGAAATGATCCACTGCATCCAGATAATTAACATGCCAGTTAACAATCCACAGAGTAGGTGTTGATCATCTCGAAATGTGAATCGTCTATCACCTAGAAAAGCTTGAACAATGAGTGCCATCTCCTGGAGAGGGAAGACAATCGTGAAGAGGTTTATTAGTAGGCCAATGTGAACGAAATTACCAAGGAAAAAATAGTTTTAGAAATGGCTATGAAAATTTCAATCAACTGATAACACGAATAACGACACAGTGAATATGCGGGAATGTATTAGGACAAAAGAAGTTATGGCTAACTTTGGGGTTAGTTTATTAATCATTCACAGCATGACTAATTGTATTCTCCGGGGTTCATTCAATCCAGTTTTGTAAAGTGAGATGCATGAAATTTAAAATATTTTCATACTCTTCACTATTTGTGTTTGAATCAACCTGAGAGCAACAGTTTCGTGAATTACAGAGTATAGCAAAAATATTCATTCAGGCATCTTTAAAACGAAATAATCGAGCAAAGAATATTCTTTTCGATAAATTCGTCTTCCGGCTCTACAGTTATATATATGTTTATATACATAGAATATTCTAGATTAGTAGTCAATAACAATATTAGTGTTTTTTTAAAATAATATAAGTGCAATTATAGACCATTAAATATGCTTAAATTATAATAATAACAAAGAGAGCAAATACAATATCAACTAAAATTAGGAAAATTTCACAAAACTTCATGATCATTCAAACCTAGATGGCCAAGGTAGTGATAATGTCTGAACTAACTTATTTTGAATGCATCAAGTAGAGTTGTTAATATGGATATCCTCAGCCTAAGCAGTACTTAGTAGTCGAACTCCTAAGGCAAAACTGAGATTTGTAGATATGCGGTAGATGACCCTGAAAGCCTAATTAACGTCAGTCTTGTGTTGTGTATCCACAAGATGAGATAGAATAGCGCTGTGGGTAGATTTTGTTTGTCCTTTACTTAACCACAAAGAAGGGTGACGATCGGAAATCTGACAAGAAACACGCCTAATTGTACGGCCTATGTAAATGGCTCCACAGGAGCAGTTAAATTGGTAGCTACAGATGGAAGAGGCGAAATTAGGCACTTTGTCTTTTACTCCAGGACGCAGAAGAGGAGTGGTTTTGAAGACACGGCGTAATTCGGCAGCAGGGAACGCTACTTCTACCGCATTTCTAAGGCGCTGTGTTAGGATCTTGCTGGTGTTGTCCCCAAGGAACTGCATTTGTAAGAATAAGTCCTTTCTTTGGAACTGTTGGTAACTTGGGCTGCTTCGGTTTTAGATTCATATTCTTATCAACAAACTTTTCAGGATAACCATTTTCACTTACCAACCGTTTAATATTATTAAGTTCCTCATCAAGATATTCGTTCGATCAAATTGCTCTTACTTTGTCAGATTGCGTTTGTATTTCAAGGGCACTAGGCTGAGAAAATGTGTATACTGACCAGTTGATGTAAGTTTTCTATATTCACTTCTTCTTACTGTGCCATCCTCTTTTCTGGTCATAACGAAACACAAATGTCTGTTTCTTTCTCAATAGTAAAATTTATTGCAGGATGAACCTCGTTAGATTTATCCAGGATGCTCTTCGCTTCCTTCTCATTTTTCATAATCAAAAATGTATCATCCACGTACCGACAATAAAATTCGAGTTCATTATTAATATCCTTCAAAGGCCCATTTTCTAGTTTCGCAAGGAAAATATCGGCAAGAATGGGTCCTAGAGGTGACCCCATTGCCACACAGTCGATTTGTCTACATAGTTCTTTATTAAATAGAAAGTGGACATTCATTATACATTTCAAAAGAAGATCTTTCATCAAAGATATAGGACTGCCAATATCGATGTTTCGTCTTTTGAATTCTTCGCATACAAAGTCCACTGTTTCCATAAGTGTTACATTTGCGAATAAGGAAGATACGTCAAATGATATCATGAATTTATTGTCAACATTTAAATCTTCTATCCTTTCAACAAATCCAAAAGTATCATTTACACTCTGTTTTACCAACTCATCTTATACTGGTTGAAGCACTACAGCACTTCTGTGCATTTTAGGCGAGCCATATAGTTTTGGTGTGAGAGTTCCAGTGAGTTTAAGTGATGTGTACTGACTCTGTGAGATGAAGCCTTGTTGTATCAGTCATTTTAATGTTTCCGATAGCTGTTTCTCTTTTCATTAAATAGCAAATAGCAAATGAATAGGTGTGATACAATCAGTATCCTGTAACAGCAGAAATGGTTTCGCATAAGAGAAAAATGCAGTTAACTGCCGCAGTTTATGCCTCAGATTAACACGTATTCAAGGATTACGGTTAAGCTTCCTTATCTATGCAGAAGAAATCCAATTCCGAATAGTAACCGGTTCTGCAGATAGTGGAAATGCTATCTTGTGAAGTCATTTCAGTACTAATGAACTTTTCAGTAGAAACATAGAGATAATCTCAAGTATGGTCGATATTATTATTGCCATTGGCAATGATATAATATAGTGATGTGCCACTGACTGATGGCACTTATACCACTGGAATTTGGTAAAGTTTAAGGTTTTATGTGGTTAAAAATGATGAGTATTCTTGTTGTAGATCAGATGATCAGGTGCATGTGAGTTGAGCAATATTTTAGTCCATGATGCATTCACATTTAACTTTGGTTCTATTGAAGCTGATTGATAGTGAAGTGGTGAATCATCTATAGTCCTGTCAACAACATGACATTATTTCAGGATCCGAGAAACAGGTTTTCGATTTTGACAAGGAATATACAGTAGGTGATGTTATTTGACTCTAATTTGTCAGTGACCTTGAGACAAAGAGTTATCAGTCTTATGACACAATACAGGTGAACTTCATTCTCTGTACCATATTGATTTATTTGTCAAAGTTGTGTGAAAAACGATGGCATTCAATTCCAGTCTTACTACGAAAGAAATGGAGCTTCTAACTCGTATTTGCTTCACCACGTTGATATTTAGTTCCGAAACAATAGCCAAATGGATTACTGCATGAATGCTGAGAAAATTTCTATTAGGTTCATGTTTCAGTGTGACTGTTCTCAGTCAAAAACCGGCAGATACACATGACAAATGCAAACAGAGCGAAATGTACCCTACAAATAACCACTATCAAGGGATAAATATTCAGCTTCAAGACCTTAACAACATTAGGCATAACAACTGGTGACTATGACCCAGCACAAACTAGTCAAAAGTGCTTATCTCTTCTGTAAATTATCAACTGATAAACCTACCCAAATAATGGTGATCATCATACCAAATCCGCAAACCATTATGAGTATCTGAGAAGAGAATAAGAAATGAAATCAGTGATTCGATTCAAGTTACAAAAATATAGAATTTTAATTTGTTTACTCTGTGAAACATTTCAGAAGACACTTATCGTCAACTAGTTATTTTCTGACCCCATATTTCGAATAAGCATGAAACCCGATTTTCGGCTTAGTGCCACTGTGCGTCGGTGGCACAGTAGTTAGGACTCTCGCCGACCATGCACATGGTCCGGGGTTCGAGCCCTCGCCGACGCACACCTGATATCTATGGTCGGCCTGCGAATTTTGGGCTACCGATATCCACGCTGAAAATTCCATACTTGTACCAAATATACGGTGTGGAATCAAGCTGTAATCAAAAATAAAATAAAATCTACGCTGATGCATTTCACAGGCAAAATCGATAACCCCGTTTAACAGACCAAAGCTTAATCAGTGATTTATCTTTAAAACAACTGCAGATATCCCTTCGTTACAAGGAGAGGTAAGTTCTCAACTGATTAGATACAGATGAAACAATGAAACCTTTATGTCTCCATCTCTCCGCTCTGCGAAAAATGCTCAAAACTTCCTGTCTTATGATACACTTTTTAAGAATATCAAGAAAAGGATTTACAATCGGAGCGCAGCCACCTTCCTCATTCCACGTGTACATGACTAATATCACTCTCCTCGGAAGAAGATATATTTACGGAATAATTATCCTAATGATTCCAGTAATAAAAATGACCACCAACAAGATTAACCACAGACAGTTAAATAGAGTTCACTCATTTTCATAGCTGACATAAACAGGATCATTTCAACTTGAAGTAATCATCACTGAAAGTGTTGCCGTTATTCGAATGAAAAAGACCTATACGTTAAGTGAGCCGTGCAATAACTTACCACATAACCAAAATCCAGGGGGAAATGGAGGTGGACTGAACATTCACCAAAGGGTCAATAAGATGACATCAGACAAGATGAACCCAAATAGGGTTTGGCTTCTGATATTAAATAGAGGAGATCATGTGGACAGTGAGGTGAAGGTATGAAGCCATTTCAATATAATGGCAGTAAGAAATGTGTACGTTCCCCAGTGAAGCCGAATATTTCACTTCAAATGTAATTAATTAAAACTAAGAACACTAGAATTTACGCCCATGAACCACTGATGGTAATGACCTTCTTTGAAACGTCACCATCGCATCACAAATGTTAGTTTATTCCAGCATGAAAAGTAGCGCTGTCGAGATTTGATCACTTTTACTGATATAATGAGGCAACAGCGGTGTAACTCGCTCAGTAGGAGGCGAACTATAAGTCAGATAGATTAATCCGACTTTTGCAACATTTCGCCAGCAAACCAAGATTAAAACATTCATTCACGCACATGCTCGTCTATAACAACACCTAGGTTCAGGAGAATGTTTACCTATGAAAAGAAATGAATTTCACCAGATCGATAAGGATATGGCGATATTCTGAAATGTTACTTCACTGACAGGTGTGGAAAATTGAGCTTTTCGAACTAGTTGTTTCGTCAGGCATCTCAATGATTATTTCATAATGGAACACTCAGTGAAGCGAATAGTCGCCAGTAAAGCTGATCATATAACATACTTTATGCTAGTTAATTTTCACTAAAAAGAAATTGTAGTTTATCTGATGACTTACATCATATTGTTTGAAATGGATGAATGGGAAGAATGCTAGACAATATAGTAATTCCAAAGTGAATGTGGTAATTATCAGCCTCACAAAACTTCTAAGCATGTCGAATCTCTTAAACACACTGGCGGTCACAACAATCGCTGTAATAGTCATGGTAATTATCCATGTGACAAATGTCCACCAGAAGGCAACAGTGATCAGTGGTAGAGCTGTGGGAAACCCAATCAATATTGTCTGAAGAGGGAAAGAGAAGAAACAGTACAGAAGGTAGAAATGACACACAGAAATATATGTATGATGTATTCATGTAAAATCGAATGTGCATTTTGAACTTATATGATGATTGGAAGAAACGGGTGGACATTCATCTGCGGATTATTAATGCACCAGTGGGAGATGTTTCCACGACCAATCGTCTAGCAGCATTTCATACTGTGAGGCCATATTGAGTTTGTTTAATTTGTGTATGCACTGTGAATTCTAATCGGTAAGCTCTTGAAAAGACTATACCCTAATCAATACGACACAGATGTTACTCTCACATTACCACAAATTCAATCAACATTTAAGTTGAAAAGATCTCGGAAAGTGTATTCAGCCGATGGGTGTACCACTTACTGACGAATTTGTGAGGTCTGTTAAACTCCTACACATCAAACAATCAAAAATTTTTGTATTTTACCCGGTACTGTACGCTTAGAGACTGATAATGTGTTCCTATGAGATATGAGTATCTCAACCCCAAACCACTTCGTTTGTGTTCGTTGCTTCCCGAAGTCGAATATATGTTCTTGATGAATTACTCCACGTTCTATTCATTGCGGTTACATCATCGAATTATATCAGATATTGAAATAATCAGGCATAAAATAGAATTGCAACTTATTCAGTCATACAATAGGTTGATTTGATAATACTTACAGCAATTATCAAGATGATATAATTGTATGGGAATGCAAACTGAAATTGCGGTATAAAAAACATCTCGAGTTGAAGAAGTGTTCCCAGAAATCTGCATTAGAACAAACAAAGGAAGAGAGAATTATAAACATTTCAGTGCTGCATGACAGAAATTCAGATGAGTTATGAACGTCTTGATGAAGTATGACCATTAGATGGGTCATGAGGATCATGTTAATTGATTTGTCCCTTGAGTGAATCATCTAAACAGATGGGGAATGGTCTGATAAAATAACAGATACCACTGAAGCAGAATACTCAGCTGCAGTAGAATGGCATACCCATATAAGCAAGCTGATGGGATGGTGCTGTTGAAGCTGATGACGACGATTTCCTCATGGAAAAATCTTGTTCAGCTCAACTCGTTACCTCTTAAAGATTATACACTGTTTTACTTGAGGCAAATATTGTTTACAGTGTGATTGGCTATTGGGTGCATAATTAATTGGATAATATATAGAAATGGAAAAATTAAAAATGTTACACGTACCCAAATAGCCAGGAAAACCAGGGATTGTCCGTCATCCACTCCTTAAGTGTATTACTTGAATGCACATCATTATGAATGTTAATCAGTAATTCGTAACTTACACAGGTAAGACGATGGCGCATATTACCCATAAATTTATAATCTGCACTGCTACTGTGATAATAGTCTTCGAAAAACGACAAAATAAGTGAATAGTGATAAAATTTATCAGATACCTTCCAAATGAATTGTTTGTTCCGTTGCTGAACCGAAGACAGTAAGAAAACAGACTGGTTTAATTTGGTTTAATTTTGAAACCTACTTTCGAGTTATTCCGTGACTTCACTGAGTCTAGAATTAAAGTTCATTCAACCGAAAACGTGAAAGACGGCCGACATTTTTTTGGATCTATGATGAAATGATAAAGGAAAGAAAGAAAGAATAGAATCTGGTGCATATTTGACTGTAGAGGATTTTTATCTGTTCAAAGTTTGAAGTAGTGCCCCACAAAGTGGCAGTTTTCTGTAAATTATCCTTTCGAATACTGGTGTTTTTGAGAAACTGTGAATGGTTCTCCGACAAAAGAATTGCTTTTATTGATTATGGTACCGTTAATTTCGGTCTTTATATCTTACCATCGTGGTCATCTCACTATTTATCTAGAAGTATACACCCAGCGATATTACTACTGAACATACTGTGCCTTTTAACGAATAAGATTGAATGCAGAAGTCGAAGTTTAGTCTGACTTAATTTGAAATATCTTTCACAATCGACTTCCATGGTTCACAACTACAAGACAATGAGAAACATACTTGTCTTGTTACAGTTTAGGTTAAGTTATTATTCGCACTTACAGCAGCATTCAGTATCTATATTTCGAAACAGCTAGCTTTCATAACCAGCATATTATCTGCCATACACCAAATCATATACCATTGAAATGTACTTATAAACTATGATCATTCTGCAGTCTCAGAGAGGATTTTCTTTTTCGTTCTATTTCACTAGATATTTAGGTGGCACTTTCTCAGTGGAACTTTTCAGCATATTTTGAATAGGCACATTTAAGTGAATATTGAATGATTTCTAAGTGTTACATTCAGTTTTTTTTATATATCATAACTGAGGACGTTTCAAGGGTATGATTTATTTGTAAATGGAAAAAACATGTCAAAGTGTGTGACGAGATTGTTTTCTCTTATGCCAGGTTGACAGTATAGCGTGACATGAATCTAGGAAGAGTAAAACGCCATAAGGAACAGTGTCATAGAGAAAATTTGTAGCTCAAGTGGATGATTTTGATGTGGTTGTATTCTTTGAGCTGGGTGGTTAATTTGCTAAGCTTTCATCGCCCTTCTAGGCGACATCTTCATAGAATACTTCAATTTGAAGTGAGCTTTTCGATTTCTCCACGAGTTTATTAATCATCCCTCCCGATCGGTGACCTCGGACGTGATTGGTTGTTTATGTGTGTTTTCACACCCTCTAGGTGGCTACTTGTATTGGAACTGATTGTTTCTTTGACTTGAACTTTGACCCTTTGTTTGTGTGTGTGAGGTTTCTTTCTTATCGGTTGATAAATTTTGTCTATCTCGATGTGTCTATTGATTGATGCCTCACTGGAATGCCAAGCTTCTAAAAATTCCCTAGCATTCTTGTTATTTCCTGTGTCTAATATTTGAACGCTGGTTGTCCCAGTCGAGTTGATGTCCGTGGTTGTCCGTATGTAGTGATATGAGGGAGTGGATATCATGTCTTTTGACGGGCTAGCTTATGTTCGTGGTTACGAAGACGAAGGGGACGTCCACTTTGGCCAATGTAGTGTTTTTCGCAGTTGTTACAATTTATTTTGTAGATGATGTTGGTTTTATCTTCTTTCGCTGTTGAGCATCATTTAGGCATTTCAAGTACTAGGGCCGGCGAATAAAACATACCAGAATAGTTTTCGAAATGTATACTTGAATGCAAATATATAAAACACAAGATTATTTCGATCGAAAGCAAAATAAACTTACTCTCTCCTGATAGACTCATCGTAGCTAAATGTGGGTGCCTCACTGGAATCCGAAAAAAGTAATAATCCGAATTGTTAGAAGAAAAATAGTTGAAAAACAATCTGAGTTAATTTATATGAGAAAAAGGATTCAGGTTGATAAATGTAAACAAGAACTTTGATACTAAATAAGGAACCATAATAGTAAATAAACGTGACACAGTCGAATTTGAAAACAAAAACATACGAGAAAAGAAGCATTTAAGTCGCAATTATTTGTGATATAGGTGGTCCCACTGGTGTTTATCTGTTTGTATATTTATTTGAACGTTGAACTCAAAATATACGATATAAAATAAGCCTATTGGTTTTTCATTATTTTCTGTGTAAACATGAGAACTGTAGTAGTATGTAATTCCACATTAATTTGTTTATGATATATATATATATATATATATATGGAATTCAATCCTCTTAGGAGCTACTCAAAATCTAGAGCAGCAGATTCCTATGAATTATAACATAGATTACCTGATTCGAAATTAGACATCGTCAATTAATATACACGCATAAGGATAAATGTGGATTTTGAGGTAGCCAGAAACAAAGTCACATTTGACGAAGAACTTGAACTCCGAGTGAGTGTGCAGACATGCCTGACTTCCACAGTATCTAAATTCCGGAGTAAAATATAAACACAAACTGAGGGAGTTGCCATGAGGTCATCCATATGCTGTGTTATGGCAGATATATTTATGATTAGGTGAGAAAATTCAGCAGTTGAAATGTTCACCCTGACCCTAATAGAACGGTGGAGGTACGTAGATAAAACACACCGTACTTAGAACTCATAACATAAATAGATGTTTTGAATACATCAACTCAAAGGTGGAGGCAATTCAATTTACTAATGAATTAGAAAGTCAGGAAGGGCAGCTTCCAATGTTAGAGTTTAGCATAAAAAAGAACGAAGATGGAAAGCTTAACAACAGTTTTACAGAAAAACCACACATACAAGTCAATATTTGGATTTCCGATCATACCATCCTATGTCAGTGAAAATCGGATTGGCGAAGTGTTTGAGTAATAGAGCACAGAAACTAAGTGGCACCAAGGAAAATTGTAGACAGGAAGTGAGGCATATTAGAGGAGCTTTGAAACTTGTTGATTACCCCGGCAAATTGACCAGGAAGTATGTAGGGAAATGTAAAAATAAAATAAATAATAATAGTAGTGATAGTGATAATAATAATACTAATGCAACATGCATGTCAAACATGTGCAAGATAATGACAACACCAACAATAAGGAATATGAATCATCAGTAGTACTTCTATTCAAAGAAGGAACCTCTGAAACCTAACGCGGAATTCTTAACAAGGCAAGAATAAAAGTGGCTGTCATTCAAACCCAAAAACGCAATTAGAAACAAGCTTTGTCGGTTAAAGGATCCCGCCAGCGGAGCCTTTAAAACAAAACAATTTATTTTGTTAAATACCCTGAAATGATTGTCAGGTCAAATATGTAGGTCAGAATAATAGACAGAGGTCAGTCAGATCAGCGGAGCACAAAACCCTAGCAAAATCTAGATGAGTTGGTCCTAATAAGATAAGAAATCTGGAGAATAGTTCAGCTTTACCACTCACTACATGCAACTACACACAACCATACAATATGATGGGATAAGATGATGGTTTTAAAATCTGATGTCAGGGGATGCAGGGATGGCAGTTGTTGAAAGCACACAAAACATTCTCAACAATTATTTCCTCATCGCAGATAACTTAAATGTCGTCTACGTATCTTCTATGAATGTCGAAATGACCGATGGTTATTTATCAAATCAACTGGAAACATGTGTAACAGGAATGATTCAACGCTGGACATTTGGAAACTACTACTATCCCTACAACAAACAGGAAAGAATAAAGGAAGTCACAAAACTCAATTTTCGAGGTCGTGCGATTACAGTTGATATGATTATGAACAATAATTGTTTTCGAAACTTTGTCACCCAGTAAATAATACTGTTTCACAGTGTGATATATCTGATAAACAGATTAATATAGAAGTTATTTTTTAAAGTTTTCATTGGTGTTCAGCACTGCTAAGTAATTCTTTCACAATCTCATCTTCTTGCACTGGACTGACTGAAGCTTAGAATGTTATGACAGCAGATGGTGTCAAATTTTCATTTAGTCGAATGCCTTACACCACTTCTTGTCAATGATGTGATCGAGTGGACACATGTGTTTATCGAATATTTCAGTTTCCCAAAGGCTTTTCTGTGTAAGTAATGTGGTTGTGTTCCTGAAAGTGACACGACTAGTCGAAGATGTATTCATAAGTTCCATAAAATTAAGGTAAAGTAGGTCTGCGAGATTTCAGTGGTTGGCAATCTTGGCCGATAAATTGTGCTAGTATCTTTCGATAACGTCTGCTTCCTTATTAGCCTTAGTATTCCAATACGATTCCAATATGGCCCCTATCTACTAAAAACGTCGCGATTTCCAGTCTCAAGCATGAGATTTAAAAGTGATGCGTTAAATGAAATTGTGTTGATTAAAGTATTCCGTGACAAGCCTGCAAGGGTAGCAAAAAGATATTTTGCAATGAGGTGGACTGAGAATATTCAATTGTGTGTACGTGAATAAATGCCGGTGTGTTCAATTTAAAAACTGATTACCTTCAGTGCTGAGTGACAGCAGATACTTCCAGTGAGGGTTATTTTTAAAATAGAAACAGAACATCAACTGATGTCTGTCAGACTTCCACTCATTCTACACCTAGATTTGTCTTTTGATGAAAATTGATGTTTAAGCCGCAATATGCTGATAAACGACTTTATGTGACAAACAGTAGTCATTAATTATGTTAATGCTGTATCATAAATCTCTTGTATTTGAAATCAGTGTTGTTCTCAGGTGTGATCATCAGCTCCTTTATTTTTGTATCGACCTATTTATATAGAAATGAAGTGTGTATCTTCCAGGTTTGCTGGTGTTCTCTTTGACATGATTTACAATAAGTAAAGGTTTTTCATACTCCTTTGAAAGAAACCAAGGGGAAATGTCACGACGGTTATCACCTACACAAGAATTGAATATAAATAACCATTTGACACTCATTTCACCTGCTTCCTGAAGACGATATCATTCACTGAGCAAGTTGAAAACAGAATGAAGAAGGGGATTCGAACAATGTGGATGATACATGAATTCATATTATGAATACAATCAGCTCGAGAATGATTGACCCATTGATAATAAAAAGCAAACAGTATTTGGACGAAGTCCATAATTTAATTCATTCACGTCAACACATCAGCTCGTTTAAGTTAACTCAGACTGATTTTCATGTATTTTGCGTAGATACACAGAGTTATACATTCTATTAGAAATTCAGTCGGTGAATATAGCTTAAATAGTGGCGAGTTTGCTAGTGCAGATTATATTCTGGTTTATTATAATCAGAGTGTTTCCGTGTTTTATGTCTAGATATCAATACTCGCTTCAATAAATAATCTTCTCACTATCGCCCACAGGCTTAATCTTTGTGGCTGCCAATAGACGACAGTGTAGTGATACACCCTTCATGAATTCATATCATATTTTATGTAAATGTGGCATGCGTGATTAACACGGTTATGTGATGACTCTCTAGTGTGGTTTTTTTCCATTATGGGATATTTACCACATCTTCTTGACCAAACTACTCACGTATTTGTTTTGAATTGATAATTATGATTGAGTAGTATGACAATTAGGGTAATTGTTACTGTTTTACGGATGTGCATTCTAAGGCAGTTTCGGCTGAAGCAGTTTCATGAAAAGACAGTCATCCGACAATTACTCTTTGGTTATGAAGTGAGCAAATCGCAATTATACAGTTGTGAAGCCATCTACTATATACTAAGCAAAATAAAGTGAGAAGCCAGTTACTCATTAATTAAATAACATGATGGTAGCTGGAAAAAAATGTTTCAGGGAACCATGATGGAGTGAATGGATGATAATATGAAATCTGAATCTCATGGACTCACTAACTCAGTTGTCTTATGACAGGGAGACATGTAATTATCACACAACATAGTCTATGTGTGTGCTGTGACATAAGGTAATTAAATGAGTGAATCCTCAAAATTTATCTGTAAAATCTATAAAATTAGGTGGTGTTACGTAAAACAAAAAGCTTTCAGAAGAATTGGATTTTGATATAGGGGTGCAGTAATAAAAGTGATGAATTGTTACAAACGAATGCTAAAGAAGTGTCACGTAATAACATGAATAGTTTGATGAAAGAATTGTACTCAGTGTGAACATGTAAACGAAATAAAATACGAAATTACGAAAAGGTGTTTTGTAATCAATTATGTAAATCCATAAAACACGAAACATATGCACACCCTGACTGAAAAAACGTTATTCTCTTTGCAGTATATCAAGCCTCCCCAGGAAACTACTGAAATTGTTACACTGGTGACTCATCTTCAAATTCCACTACGAAATATTTTAAACTGACTCAAAATACAATTGAATGGGGAGTATAGAAAATATGATCCCCAAAATAATCATCAAATAAAAAAAAATTTACTTCCGAGGTGACAAACGGAATCCACAGGGTAGAATGAGAATTTCACAAATAATCGCCAGTGCGTTTATCTGTATATCAGTGCGTAAACAGTATCATTATTTACTGAATGACAAATTTTCGTGCACGATTTATTGTTCATAATCACATCAGTTATAACTGCACAATTTCAAAACTTGACATTTAAAGCTTTTTTTTGTTCTCTCAAGTTCAAGATATCTAGGACAGGCGTTGAATCACTCCCATTACACGACTTTGCAGTTGATACGATAAATAAAGCTTCCGTTATCAATCTCTCTCTGCACCCTCTTACACTAAACATTGAAACTGTCATCCTATTCCATCGTAATATTTGGTTGTGTGTAGTTGTATGTAGTGGTATCTGCAGCTGAATTGTTCTCCAGATTTCTTATCAGGGCCAAATAATCTAATGAAGACATCATCCAGTAAA